CAACACTTTTCTGATGTTCGTTTGGCGAAATCCACGGTTATCGTTTGTCCTGCATCGTGCAAAATAATGTCAATATGGTACAAGTGAAATGAACCACTGTTTTCCTCGTAGTTTTTTGTACTTTTTTATATACCGAATTATGCAATTTGTTTCCACTTTATTTTAATGTTACATGAATAGGTACATGCGTTTGTGCTGTGGTAAATAAGTGTTCATGTGAAAATTATCTCTGAAACTGCATTGTGGCTGCACTCGTCTCAAAACTGAATGCTGTAAATCCAGGATTTAAATCTTTCATAGTGTTGCTTGGGATAAATTGTAAATAAGGTGTTGGACAAAACGTTTGCAACCTAAAATTGCATGGAAAACATCATAGAAGAAGGAATTTTACCTTTATGACATTCTCTTTCAACATTTTTTAGTGACTAAGTTTGTGGTTTGGTGAATGGACTCAGTTACCACAGTCAAAAAATTCAAATTAAAAAAAAGTGACTAAGTTCTATTAAGAATACATACAAGTTGAATATGAAAATGTAATTACTTGATTTAAATGTGATTTAATTAAGAGCTAAATAGATGTTTCATATAAACAAAGTGCTGTAAAATTTTGATAAATGCAAAACCATTATTAAAGAGAAATTAGTTATCATCAATAGAATATTTTGTAGTAGCTGGTCTCTTTAAATAATAAACTTGAAAGACTGTGAATTAGTAGTCACTTTTACACTAGAAGTAAAAACAAAACAAAAATGTGTGGTTGAGACTAATTTATGTATTTAATAAAAACATATTTTTAACATGTTTTATTTAAATAAAAAACAGGTGTTATTTGAAATGTTTTATTTTAGTTTAATAATTATAAATTGTGGGTACATTTGATCCGAATCTTGCTTAATACTATGAAATGCATATGCATTTCTATATGGTTATATGGTTAGTACATATTAGAGTAGAAGCACAAAAGTTTTGATTAAAAATATATATTTTAAATACAATATTCACTAGATATGCTAATTTAGGTAATTTCCTATTCGAAGCCATACATGTTTCCTATTATAGTTTTCATGCATTTATAATTCTGGAGATACTGAAATATTTTGCTTAATTACTAAACTTTGGTTGTTATTGTTGTGGTCTGCTGTTAACACTATTGTCCTGAAATATTAAAAAAGCTTGACAAAGGTTTGTCCAACTCTTTTGTCAGCTTTGTTAATCTATGCTACTGTTATTCTGCATGCAGACATTTTTTACTGGAGATTTTCTCTAAGAATTGTATTCAGTTTCAAATTTCGGCCAGTTTTAGGAACGTTGTAAAGGTATTTCAAAGCCATCCTTTATAAGATGTAGCCAACAAATACATGCTAAAATGTATAGAAAACAAATCGCAAGATATTACACAAAATTATATAAATTAAATAAAAACATAAAAATGAAGTGAATAATACCCACCAACAATTTAAAAAGACCTAAAATAAATAGACTTAGGGGACTGGAGCTCTAAAAAAGGGAGCCATAATTTGTTATGCATCCCCATCTATAAGAAAATTGTCTTCATCTCTTCAATTACCTTTTAAAATAAACCAAAACAGCACAAAATTGAAAGTGATCTACTTTTCACGACGTATTCTATGTACATGTGAGATTATTAATAATTTATTAAATTAAAATATTTTAACCTAAAAAATATGGGCATTTTATAATGAAAATGTAATTTAAAAAAAAAACATTGATTTTTTTTCTTATATTGGCAAGCCTAGCGATTACAGGTTGCCAGATCAATGGGCGACTACTATTTCGAAAAAAATGGCGTCCAAAATGGACTCCTATGTCGCGATCCCCTTAGATATACCAGCCCTGCTGTGGCGTTAGTTTTGACAGTTGACAAGTTCACGTAGTTTGTCACTAAGGGTGACATAATTATTAAATAATCAGTAGTGTTATTTAAATTTTGGTTGGTTTAGTGAATAATTAATAGTTTTGGCATGAAGTTATATAAAAAAATTAAATCAACCAAGTTTTTATTTCTGCAGCAAATTTTGGTTGTGTGTGAAATGGGTAACATTAAGGCATGTCAAATTGTTACCCATTAACATTATTATTTGTATTTTCGAGTTAAAAATCTTAATTTATTAGCAGGATGCCTGAATCTACCTCTTGAAACTAATATTAGAGCATTTCCCAAAGAGAAAATAAGAACGACAGTAGATACTGTGTTTACTGGACGAAGTATACGATCTATTTCACAACAAGAGTATTTGAGCTTCCAGACTATAGCAAGTTATAAAAAACATGTATTTGAAAAATATCAACTAAATATTAAAATTTCAGTTAGGTGAAAAATAAAAAAGAGGATCCACATACACCAATTCGAATGGCCCCTAACTATGCACTAAATAAAATATTCACGACTGAGCAAGAAAATATATTGGCAAAATATTATCATATTTTTTCAAATGTCTTATGGGTTGCAGTAAAAAACTGTGAAAATTCCAACAACTGGGGAAACAAATATAATGGCAGGTATAGAATGGATCAGAAGTTATATAAGAAGAAATCAAATTCTTTAATTGAGAATATCAGAAGGCTGTAGTCTTTCTCGTGCACATCTTTTAACGAATAGTATGTCCGAAAGTTTTTTCACAATTTACTTATTAGATAGACAAGAGTGATTTAGTAATGGCAAAAGTCTTGACTGCAAAAGGTGCGAAGCAGGTAAATAAGGTTCCCAGCGGAAAAGAGGGGATTCTTGTGACAATATTTGTTACAGTGAATGCTGGAAAAAATTATTTACCAGGCACCTGCAATGGTGTTTCCCCGCGAGCGCTTTAAGGAGTACATGATTGCAGGAGGAACGCCTGATACATTGGGACTGATAAGCCCAACAGGGGGAATACACTTTTAGTTGTTCGTGAGAGTGATAGAATAGTTTAAAAGATAATCAAAGTCTTCTTTTGCTCGTAAACCATGAAAGTCACCTGTTTATTGGTATGCTGAATTTTACGAAGGACAACACTGTTACTATTCTGATCATTCCCCCCACACTCCTCAAACAAGTTCAACCATTGGACATCTGAATTTTTAAGCCATTCAGTACAGCATACAATGCTGCTGTAGACAATTGGTTATTGCATCATCCTAGAAAGTGCATATCTATATACCAAGTTGCGGCTTATGTCGGTGAAGCGTTTTAAAATCAATGCTTGAGGTAACATTACCTCGACTTTAAGAAATGTGGAATATATCATTATGATAGGCATGTGTTTGCCAAAGTTGATTTTTTACTTAGTTCGGCTACCGAGAGACCTGTTTCAGATAGACCTGCTCCAGACATCGCAAATCGACATGAAGAAGAATCCACAGATTCATACACCACCTTTACCAGAGACACCATGCAATATTAGACAATTTGTTAGCCCGTAAAATATCAGAGAATACCTTCAAGCCAAAGCGCAAGAAAAAACAGTAAGGCACAAGAAATGAGAGGATAAATTTAACGAAAGACAGGAGGCATTAAACAAACAAAATAAGAAAAAGGCAACCGAAAGAAACATTGCATGACGAAGCTGAGTCAAAAACAAAATATGGAAAGAGTAACTGAAAAAAAAATTGTAGAAGAAGATGGGTGATTAAAAAAGTAAAATACGAAGAGAGCTACCAAAAGAATATTTGTCGATGATAAGGATGAAGAAACTGATAAAGAATGGAATTCTGATGGCACTAGTATCTACTAATTTTGAAGTAGATCCCTCAAATTTTGAAACACTGGAAAGGACCCAAGTAAGATGGTTATGTCCTAAATGAATTTGAACCAAAAAACTTAAAATCTAAGGAAGTGTTTTACGTAGGAACATTTCTGACAGGGGTGAAACAAAATGCCGAATTTGAAATAACATTCCTAAGGATAAACAACTATCTGAAAACTTTAACTTACCGGATATCCCAGACAATTCCATCGTTTTCGAAAAATATATCAAAATGATTTTACTACAACCTGTTCACCACAGTCAGACGAAGAGACAGAATTCATACTATCAATTTGAAATAAGTTTTGATTTCAAAGATACTCGGTGATTTTGAACTTTACGTACGTATTAATTACATGTCTACGCATTTTGTTGTAATTGAACGGAAAATAAATACTGTTCTTAAAATTACTGTCTTACTGTTACCCTTGTTGATGCTTTACTGTTCCCTACCCGCGACATGTTATGTTAATTTTTGCATTTTAGAATATTTAACGTCTTACCAAATCGGCCAGTAAAAAATCATACTCGGAAGACATTTCTTTCATTGTAACCCTCTATTATCTATTTAGTTTTCTTGCGGTTACAGTACCTTCGATAATAGTTGGTTTATTCATGATTTAATAGTCAAAAATGGCAGCTTGGTGCACGGTGTTGCGTATCTATTTTACTCTATATGAAACTGTGGATTAACAAAATGTGATTGCTTAGTGTAGTCGACAACAACCGCACATTGCGGTCCGTCTATTTCTGCACTTAGTATAAATAAGCAGGCTGGCTCTTCAAGTGTATTCTTGGATATACAAAGTTGGAAGCTAGGTTACTACTAAGACCACTCAAAGTTTGTTCAATATGGATTTTGATTAACTAAGCAAACTGTTACCGTGTAGGTACCATTAAATTTTTGACTACGCCTTTGATAAGAAGTTTTGAAGTGAGTTGCTATGAATAGAAGTGGTGGTAGGTTTGAGTCAAATCAGCACATAGTTCAAGTGCGTTCTTATTCATAGGTGATTTATTACGTCTTTTTGATATAGAACCTTTGGATTATTACAAACATGAAATTGAATACATGCTGGATCAAGCGTTTCTAATTATTAGGTGTGATCTATATTCAAATAGTTTGTTGGACAAGCACCCTTTTTTGACGTAAACCGCGAATTATTTAACTTAAAATGAAAAAATCGTTTAGTTTATGTAATTTTTGGGGTATATGGAGAACTAAATTTTGCGTAGTAAAAATGAAGTAAAACTTACCTATTACAAAGGAAATACACGTATTATAAAGTGTAACGATTGTGTTATAAAGAGTTGGAATTATTAATAATGTTTTTGGGCGTGACATTAGTTCATGGCATTTACATCCATGACATTTAATGCCATGTCATTTATAATTTATATCAAAAGTCTAGTATTAAGCTGTAAAACTCTGCTAACGTCATTTCGATTTTAGATCCTTAAATTCGTGTATTGAGTGAGCCAATTTATTAAGCTTTATCAAAGTATAGGGGGAGTAAATACAGAATAATAGTAATAAACTCTCGTTGACAAAGTTGTAGTGTTCTGACGTGTTAAAAGTGCGCTAAGCCTTGTATAAGTAGCTAGAGGGGTATATTCTGTAACAATTCCTTTATATTTAACAGCCTTTAAAAATATTGGCGGCCTTTAAAAATATGTTCGTATTTGTTAATTTACTTCTGTCATTATTTGAACAGATTTCTTTAAGATAGTCCTCTAATGTATTTTAAAGATCCGTTTAAATAATGACAGAAGTAAAGAAGAAAATATTTTTAAAGGCCGTTAAATATAAAGGAATTGTTACAGAATAGACCCCATAGTTGGCCAGATATCAGCTGAAAAGCACAAAATCTGAACATGAAACATCACGGTACCGAGTAATTTTACTTCCCGTATACATTTATACCATCGAGATAAAATGAAGTTGAGACGACATGAACAGTATTTTGCGATATGACAGATGGACGCACTTAGCGATGACAAGACTAACGGAAAAGTGTAATTAAAATGGTGACTTTAGAGTTGTACTTTGATTTATTTGAAGTCAATAATTTTATATTTGAAGATTGACGGAATGAAGCTATTTAAAAAAAATAGCATTTATTCTCACATTCATTCTCACCAAAACTGACCTTGACTATACTCTGTTTTTAAACTAGGAGGAGCGATTTGAATTTAAGTTAGCAATTATGTAGGCTTCTGATTGGTCAGATTGCAGTCAGTTTCACACATCACTTTTTAACACTAACATCAGCTAATAATTGATATTGTAGACAATTCTGACATTTTATATTTTGGTATCTCATCATTATTAGCTTTTTACTTTATTTTGTTAATAATAGTGGCTACCGTCGATATTAGGGACAGTAATTTTTTCACTTTTTCCATAAAGATTAAGTAAAGCCGTAATATTTTTACACTTTTTAATCTTCTATAAGTGTGCACTAAACTAATTAAAGCAACAAATATTATTAAAACACATTTGTAAGTTAAAAAATTAAGAATATGCATTTATTCACGACATTCTCGCGTAGCCATATTGTTTTTAATTTTTTCGATTTGACAGTCACACTAAGAGCGCCTGTGCGTGATTTTAGCGATGTTGCCAATTGCTTTTTGTTATTTGTTTTAAATAAATATATTTATGGTAATACCGTTCTATATTATTTTTTGTTTATGAATAATATGACAACATTTTTATAAATGTGGTGTTGTCAAACATAGTAAAAGAACGTACATAACAAGAATGATAGTGGCTGTTTTTTCAATAGCTCCAGGCTAGATGATAAAACCAAAATATAAATGTGTTTATTTGAGAGTTTTCAGTTCAATTATTCAATTTGAGCTGTGTCCAGGCCGTTGGAGTCTATGCCGGTCGGCGTAGCCAGGTATGGGTTAATGTTTTTTGGTGGCGAAGCCGCAACCCTAGGATAAGTCGTGGCTTCGTTTTCTTGTTGCATATTTATAGACCGGTATGCGCAATCACAATTTTCCATTAACTACTAATTTTATCACAATCCGGCAACGTTGCAATTATATTTTCCAAATTTGACAGAAACCATCGAGTTTCGATGTTTACAGTCGTCAAAATGCTGATTTTTATAAAAATTAAATAATTTTTTTTGGTTTAAATAATGCATTTACCGCAAATTTTTTTTTTAGTATACTATTTAAAATACGCTCTTTCTGATAAAAAAATAAATTTCGTTAAAATTCCACTGTCCCTAAAGTCGACGGGACCCATAATAGTTCTTTTTAGAACTTCAGTAAGCAATTGTATTGAAATTCTACGATTATGGATCCTGCTTCATTGAGTACTATTAAGGGTAGCAATTTCTGAAAAGTCCTACAAGAAAGGGCAGACGACTTATTATTTTACATGCTGATTCTGAAGAAGGTTTTGTAGAAAATGCATTATTGGTTTTTAAGGTAAAAAGACGGGAGATTAGCATGAACAGATGAATTTTGTAATAAAATAAGGTATTGATAGGCAGGATCGTATTAAAACAAAAAAGTAAAAATTTACATAAAATATATTTTAATTTAACTTATAAAAACAGCATTAAGAAAGACAATATGCTCTACAGATTGCGCCAAATAATTAGCTTGTTTTTATTGATGGTCTTAAAATTTCTATTAATATTTTTAAAGTGTAATATATGAGTAGCCTTAAATATAACTTAATAACATATATTTCTGGAAATCGGGGACAAGGAGCGTCAAATGTTATCTCGGAATTAATTAAATCTAAAAAAAATTTACAAACGCCGGATTTAGTGATAAATCATTTAAAATTTTGTTGAAAAATTATTTCAATTTTTGTTATTAAACATACAAAACTATTATTTGACATTTTTAAATTGCCAAAAATATCTTCATTTGCTTTTTTTGTATGGTTTATAATAACAATACATGGAGCTTGTATCCAAGTCTTCGTGTGGTAAGGCATATTGTGTACATATGTCGCAACTGTGAATTTTAAGACATTTTTTTATTAAAAATCCGCATATATAATAAAATTTTCTTAAAAAATATTAATATTTTGTGCATGCAATTCATTAATATGCTTGTTTATATTTACATTTTCGACAATATTGCCACCATTACACGCGATTTTGAAAAATGGCTCATCCTTACTAGTCCTACGAATTTCATGCAGCCTTACAAGTAAAGCATCCCCACCTGTTTCGCAATTTTCAGTTCCAGAATGTAATAAATTTAAACATTTCAATTTTTTGAACGTCCTTTGAAATTGGACCGATGTAGGGTTTACACAGTTACTAGTTACCATCATGGAGGAAGGATAATTAAGAGTTGCAGATTCCTCACATAAATTTGGCAGCATGTTTACCTTCAGCGACATATGGAATAGTTTTGTGAAATTAATACTCAGTCGGTAATATAGAAAGATGTAATGCTATTTTAGTTTGAAAATTTGCGGGCTTTTGAATTTACTTCGACAAAATATAAGAATTTTACATTTTTAATGGCATTTTTTTAATACGCATCTCAGGCGTATTAAAAAATGCAAATGAAAATGTAAAATTTTATGTTAAATAATTTTAGAAGTGTAAAATAAATAATACAAAATTGTAACAACTAAATATTATTTGTAGAATCTTTATTGGTTACAACAATAAACATAATATACATTTTCTGAATAAACAACTATATTAAATAACATAAAACAAACAAAATTTTTCTATAATCGTGCGAAATAAAATAAGAGTTCCAGCCATAAATCCTGAAACGAAAAACAAAAAAAAAACAATCGTTGAAAGCGAAAAACTGCTTAAGACACATGATTTTAATTGTATGTGACTCATTACTATTTTTTAATTTACTACTTATAATTTCTTTAATGGCTAATTAAGATTTTCTTGCTTTTTGTAATGAAAATACTTTAGATTTATCAAGATTATAAAGCTTTGTTATTTGCAGATCTAGAATAATTATTATCAAAATGAATATCAGAATTAAATTTTTGTTAAGCATTTCAATATTTGGAAACAATACAATTACGATTAATATTCATTTTTTTCAGAAAAAAAAGTCATTCCTTACAAAAAATTCTGCTTATTGAAAAATATTACAAGAAAAAGTTTCCTTTTAAAGTTATGAAGGAAAACCGACAGGAAAACTGTGACTTTTCTTCGTAAAATCATTAGGTAATACAGAATTTTGTGAATTTCAAGTTTCTTCATTTATTAAGACCATGTACACCTGACCTAACATATTAATATAGTAAACCTATTTTTTCGTCAAACAAAATTTTTTTATAATGACTTTTTCCTTAAAATAAAAATAAAGATTTTTCCATTTTGTCAACTCCATACGGGAGGGAGATGTTTAAAATATAACATTTTACTTTAAATCTTAATAATATACCTACATAAGTAAATATAAATTGACGCTAAACTTTACGTGACGTTAACTAGGCACCTACCTACATCTTACTAATAGCTTTATAACTGACAAACTGACTCATAAACTAGGATTTTTTTAAAAGTGTACCATACATACCTAATAAGATCTTTAAGAAACCGAAAAAATCTTTTAATACAGTTTATTCATATAGTTTTTTGCTGCACAACTTTGCCCAGACATAGTAAAACACTTAAAAGTTAACAAATTAACACTGGAAAACAACTACTATATAAAAAGTGTCAAAAAATATCTATAATTCTAAAAAAATAACAATAACTACATAATACAAACATCACAAACAAAATAAATTTAAGATACACGCTACTGATTCCGTGCTACTGCAACTTGTTTGTTTTTGTCGATATAAACGACGACAGTGACGCCACTGGCTTGATTAAGAGGTTGGACCCCAAAATGGCGGTATGCGCGTAGATGTGCGCGTAGCGTTGCCGCCAAGACAAGTTAGCCTGCCGATTGTTTATTATGCCGTGACATTTATTTGTTCCTTAACCCCTCATTGGCCATTCGCCTACTAGGGCCGTTAATAACAAATTTTTAACACGACTATATTTCCGAACACTCCGTAGAATGGAGGAAGTAAATCGAGATGGAAGCCTGGCCCGGAAAAAATCATAAAGAAGATATGCGATGAGAAAGAAAGTTGGAAGATGAATTATAAATTCATAGAGATATAAGAAAGATTAGTGCAAGGATAGATAAGGAATGTACCTACTCTTGTTGCAGCATGAAGTTATATTCTTTTAGGATGGTCCCGTGAGGCCATCGGGGAAAAAAGGATATTTGAACTCATAAATCCCAAACTATCCTGCTGAAGATCGAGCAGGTTGCGCGTAAAAGTATTTTTCTCTTCTCAAAAAACAGATGTAACTACTCACGTACAGAACAATAAATTATTGGTAAAAA